CACTGCGCCTCTGACTAATATAGCCGCCATTCCAGGACCCTCCATTGTTTCGGCTGCCGCTGCGCCTCTGACTCTAAAAGTTCCCTCTCTTGGACCTATGATAGCCTTTAAGCGAGCCAAGCGTTATACTGACACATCAGATAAAGCTGAAGCAAAAAGAGCAAGGGAGAGGAGGAACTATGCCAACCGCCAACTCAAGATCAGGGCACTTCCTAAAGCTGAACTTGATGAATATGAAGCTGGAAGGAAGGTGTACCTTAGAGAACAGTACGATCGGAGGAGAGCTAATACTTCACCAGTGGCCAAAGACAAGGAAAAGCTCAAATGGGTAGAATATCATCGATGTCGACGTAACCAGGCAATATCAGTAGCAGCTCAGAAACGCAACTTGGACCTTCACGCACTCGAGCTAGATACGCCGGTCCCTACAAGTGGTGTAGATGAGTATGGCCGTGTCCTGTACTTTAACGCACATAAAGCAAGCCTGAATTTGTCACTTACTGCCATTAGCAAGCGCATCCTAGCTGGTTTTGGGCCGAAGATCATCGCCATCTCAGACAGCTATATGGACATGACGGCCTCTTTATATGGTTGGACGTTTATACATACCGAATTGTATCCTGAAAATGGTACGCGCAAGAGCATGGCACGTGTGGTCATTGGATATGACAACCGAATGCTCGGCGAGCGAATCATCTGCAGCGAGAAAACAAAGCACACAATATCATTGTTCATCGGAGCACCAGGCAGTGCCACTCCCTGCCTGCAATTGCTTTTCGCGTATCTTCCAACTAGTAGTTCAGGCTACACTATCTATCATCAAGCGACGACAGAGTTGGTTGCCGAGATCGATAGAGCCAAGTACCCATTAATTATAATGGGCGATCTGAACGCGCGAATGGGTACAGCTGTTGGTGACACTGAATTATGCACTAGAGGTGAGCTCTTGCATAGATTAACTGACGACAGGGGTTTTAAGATTCTCAACAACCTCCCGCAAACGAAAAACAAGCCAACATATTCGAAGAGTGCTCCTTATCGGCCAGAAGAAGTGGAGCCTTTCTCGTCGATTATTGACTATGTTATCGCCCAGAATAGTGCCCTATTTGCCATCCGTGCCTTTCAGTTCATCGATACTCACGCAACCGAAGAATCATCAACCAAGACGATGATTGAGAGCGACCACCGACCACTCGAGTTTGTCCTAACTTTGCCAGCCTCTGCCTAGTAACTTTTTCTCTTTTCTCTTTTTTTTATCTTCTCTATTAAAAAGCAATCAGTGTTTAAAAAAAACCTTAGTGGAGATTGACTGCTTTTTTCCGCTCTACAGGCCTGCCTCGCTTTTAAAAAAAAGGTATTTTTCGCATGAGGGGGAGTGCCGATCACAGAGAAAAAAGCCTGTGACAGGAAATCAAAAATCAAAAATCAAAAACAGGCCAACAACAATCAAATCGGGCAACGATGATGGTGAGGGCTACCCCTCTCTTCTTAGTTCCTCTTTTTTTATTTTTATTTTTTTGCTCTCTTATTTACCAGTGGGCATGCCTAGTCAGGAAAGCTGCAATCCGAACGTGCTGGCAGAAGGAGTACGAGGAGCACTGGCCATGGCGGAACAATGCTCAGATCAGAAAGGAGAAAGCGTCTGACATACAACCGAAAAAGCGTCGACAAGCAATGCACGAGCAACGGCCACCGGGATTGGAGAATGGGCGAGCAGACGGGATGCTGAAATTCGACGTCGAATCGCCAGCAAAGAAAAGAAACGAGTACGCGGCCCTGTGCAAAGTACTAGTAGGCAACTGGAGTCATGGTGTTAGGAGCCAGGTACCCGGCAGGGGACTATGGTCCGTCAACACAAAATATACTTAAGGTTCCGGGGGGTGCGAGTCCTCCGCATGTGGTTGGGACTACATTCTATAGGGTAATTTATTTTATTTTGTAGGTCTAGTTTTAGGCTTTTGAGGTGCTCTCGAGTCAGTGACCATAGCTTGTGCCCATACAGGGCTCCAATACAATGACTCAATCATCAACAACCAGCCTGGGCAAACGACAAAGACAGCTCGATTTTGGCAGTACTATGACCAGGTTGGGCAGGCAAGGAGGATGCACAAGCCTACCAGCAGATGTACGAGTGAGCGATCTGCCATGTCAGAGAAGTTCTGGAGCTGGACGGCAACAGGGTAAAAGTGTGCCGATTGGGATACCGCCTGTTCTGGGAATGAAAGTTCCGTGCACTGGTGACAAGAGCAACGAGCAGGCAACAGGGTAGCCAAGAGCAACAGTGGCTCATGGTCGACGTCGCGCGCCATGCTCTTATGCCGACTCATAGGAGACCTGCCCCAGCGGAGACCCCCTTCTTACCTGAATTGATCGCAGAAAAGTTCTGGAGCCCAGAGCTAGCTGAAAGGGCCGCACAAGCATCACAGATCACCGTGTACACAGACGGGTCGCTGACGCCAGGAAAGCACCAGTCACAAAGCACGATGGGCTTCACTGCCATCTTTGAATTCACCCTGCCGGGGCCCTCAACAGCTCCAGCAGTCATGTCGGGAGCGACCAGAGACACCCCGTTTTCGTCAATGACTGCAGAGATAATGGCAATCCTGGTGACCATTGCCGTCCTGTCGTTGGACGCTAAGGCAACCATCTGTTGCGACTCACAGGCAGCACTAGCACTAATACACAAGTTACAGGGGGAGGAGGACGACAGCTGGCGAAAGTCCCCGCTCGCCTACTTGGTACAGTTCTTCATTCCGCGCATACGCAGCCGCACAACAGCACTGACGCTAAAGTGGGTACGAGGTCACGCAGGAAACAAGGGCAACGAGGCAGCCGACAAAGAGGCCAAAGCAGCACAGTCAACCCAGAGGGAGGAGTGGTGGACACTCCGACTAGGAGCACTGCCAGAACAACCTTACTGGGTGTGCGCGGGCAAGTCGGTGGCACCGTACAATATTGGAGGCATTGTAAAGCGCCAGGAGGAGGCGTGGGCTTCGCAATGCCTGTTAAAACGGGTACACGCCGCCAATGCCGAGGCAGCAATTCGCGAGAATGACCTGAAGGAGATGCTGGATGCGCTCAACTGGTTGGTGGCTAGCTCGAATGGGACATGGACGCGAAAGAACTCGTGGTGCCGCACCAACATGAGGGACTCCAACATGAGAGGGTTCGTTATCGGCGCCCTCTTTGGACTTTTGCCTGTAGCGCTGCGCGAGTGGGCATGGTACCCGCAATCATACCCGCAGGACGAATGGAGGAACTGCCCGCAGTGCCACACCGAGGTCGAGACGCAGGCGCACTTCTTCGCGTGTACGGCGAGTCACCAGATCCTGGGCCCAGGAGGGGCAGCAGTGGATCCAGAGGAGGCGGGACCGCCAGCTGCCGCAGTAACGATGATAGTGCCTAGGCCTGACAGGTGGACGCTAGTTAGACCGCGGAGACCGCATGTGGGCGCCGAATTTGGGAATGAGGAGGAAAATATTATAGAAAATAGTGGGGACGAAGAGGAGGAGTCGCAAAGGAGGGAGGGACCAGTGGCCAAGTGGATCATGCAAGTAGCCAAAGAAAGGGCCTGGTGCGTTATAATTCCACAAGAATGGCAGGCTGGCACTGCCAACGCGATCACCCACGAAATGAACCAGTTCGGCGAAAAGGGTAGGGACTGGATGTCGCGCAAGGTCGCAGACGCCAAGGAGCTCAAGTCAGTGCGACGGTGGCAGCGGGTACTCCGGAAGATCGCCATCCGCAAGAAGTGGGAGTACGAGTATGAGGAACACTGGCTGCCACAAAATGACATGCAGATTTGCAAGGAAGAGGCGTCAGCGGTTAGGCCTAAGAAAAGAAGGCAGATGATGTGTGAACCGCGCCCACCTGACATGGAGCATGATGATGGCACACCAGTGTATCCGCGTGAGTTGGCAGCCCAGAAGAGGGTGGTGTACAGCCTGCTGTGCACCTCCCTCATTGACGATTGGTGTCGCGGTAGAAAGAGCAAGGTGGAGGGCAAGGGACTGTGGTCCATCAACCCAAGATACTCTTAGAAGTTCCAGCGGCGTTTGCCATGCATGTGGTTGTGGCGGTAGCTAGTATTTTATTTATTTATTAGCTTAAGTTAAGGCGGCGGACGGGTTTCGCTGTCAGCGACCTCAGTTCATGCCCATACAGGGCTCCAATACAACGACTTCATCATCATGCTTTGGACAGCCTCATGATATCCGTTTCTGTTTGGTTTTCTTTTTTTTTTTTTACAAACAATTTATTCAGTTCACTCTCTCGTGATATCCGTTTCTGCTCTCGCTATTTGATTTTGAATTTGTGCTTGCTCCCACCTATCCAGCCTTATCGGCGTGACCTTTGTGGAAGTCACCGTCCGTCGCCCCTGTCGTGGTGTATATACTTCTAAGGGAATATAGTCTAGTTGAGCGTATGCATGCACAGCACATCTTTTCGGGTTGAGTGGGTAGTTGAGGAGTTTGCGAACGACGTGAGGATGTAAGTTGATCCAGTGCTGGCTAAAAGCCAGAACGTACGGCTGCAGAAGAGGATCGTCGCGTGAGATTGCTGCACCTGTCAGCTCATAGCACACAAAAATGTTGCCCAGAGTGAAGAGTTTATTCGCCTGCAGCTTCTTCCGAGTCGCCGCAGATATCTCAACAAGGAGGTACACTGCCGGGTGGTCGAAAGGTAAGCCAAGTAGAGATTCGATTGGACTGTTAAAGGTCTCGTCGGGTCCCTTACCCTTGAGGGTGAACCAGCTGCGTAGAACTAGGTCCCAATACGCGGGTAGCCCTTTTGGAGTCCGCTTGGGTTGTGCGAGTGCGAGAAGGTCAGATGAGTGTAATTTCTTTTGGCCCAGCTGTTGGTCGAGGACCCACCGAGCTGCGTAACGGCTCAATCATCAGCACTTTGTCCCAAAGATCATAGTGTAGTTTATCTATTCACTCTTTTGTCCTCAACCATGAAAAAAGTCGGGTAGTTAGCTCGAAAATGAAGCACATCAGTCCCTAATGGTCTAGTGGTTTAAGGATTACTCGCTTTCACCGAGTCGGCCGGGGTTCGATTCCCCGTTAGGGAGTTTCTTTTTTGCCTTATTTTTAATATATTTTTGCTTTATAACAATTATTATTTTATACCTGTCCTAGTACTTGGGAATCCTTATTGCTATCTTTTTTCCCCCGCTTAATTTTTTGGCCAATCGTGTCTCTTCTCCCCCCTTCACGTGTTCACGTGTGATTCAATAAACTGTTTTCACTCTCTTTTTCTCTCGCTTAGAATAAATGTATACCTTTTTCAATGCGCCTCTCTCTTTCCTTCTTGTCTCTTCTAATTGTAATATTTTTCTCAACTCCACTCTATCACAATTACTCCCCCCCCGCAACGCCTCTTCTAACCCCTTTTATCTCTTTCCCTTTTCTAACTCTGGCAACGCCGTCGTCGTTCTCGCTTACGTATGTTCAATTCTGCTTGGAATCGTTAGTCGCTGCATTTCGCCTTTCCAATCTCACCACCGCGGCTAATTCATGCTCACAAAGTCCGTGATTCGAGTTCTTCTCTGACTGCCACGCGTATACACAAGTGTTGCATGCTTGGATCTATGGTGGTCCTCTTTGAACCTGAGCTGACTTTGTGCCATTGCATTAGTAGCTTTTGCACGCAGTATTCAGTTCACAGCATTAGGCGTCAGCGACTCAGGTACAGACCAGCAGTGATTGTTTATGCAGCGCCAACGGTGAGCCTGTGCGCATGCGCTATTGGTTTAAGCAAACGTCTAGTCATGGATCAGTCAACTGGGGATGCGAGATACACATTGGCCTTGTGTCTGGCGTGGTGAGCGACGTAGAGGCATTGATGTTGTCGATTGGTGGACAAATATGCTCTGGTAAGTTCTGACATGGCCATGTGTTACCTTTTACGCTGTTTATTACGAGTTTAAGCGCTGCATTGGCATTATTGTAGCTCGGAATTCTATCAGCCTGGTGCTTCTCAGCCCCTTGGTCTCCTAGTCGCCTTGTCGCTGCATTTACTCTACTGACTGTCACAGCATCGCATTTCTACTTGCATACTTTCAAAGATGCGGTCCATTGTGAAACAGTGATGTTAAAACTTCCTTGCGATTCAGGTACAGGTAACTATAGTAGGTTAATGCCACCTGTGCATGAAACCATTCCTATTTGCATGCTCTCAGTGGAATGTCACACCGTTGTAAATACATTGTCTATAGCGAGATCAATGACTATTTGCCTTTTCACACTCTGCCATCGCGTGTTTGGTAGCTGTGTGGCATTTAAGGCACGTAGATCAGTATAATGAACAACAGCGTTGGAGTGGTGCAACGTGCAATGGCACGCCAACGTATGCACACCAAGAATTGTCCTCAACACAGAGTGTATTGGCATTCCGCAGTCGCAAAGCCCCTCCACGTAGTCAAATCGCTAACAATGTCTCCAGCGACCTCCGCAACAACAATTCACAACTGTATTTAATCCCTCTTATCCTTCATCACATTATAAAGATGCAATTTATGCTCTCCCAGATTTTGCCATACACGTTGTGTGAGAGAGATGTGTTCTACCTAACTGTTTTTATGTGGGCGTCAATTGTATATTAATGCATGTCATGGCGGTACCAGAAATACGCTCTTGTATTCGTGCTACATTTAGGTCTATATCGCCAAATGAGTGTCATAGTTACTTGTTGCATTCATTTAATACTTGACTACGGCGTTGTATACAATGGTATGTATATACGGTAATAACTATTTGTAGCCTTTGTATAGTGTAAATACATACTCTTTACTTTAATAAACCTATGTTTATCTCTCACAGCGACATAGCACTCTTGTAACAACCGCATAGCTATTATTAAAGCACAAACAATGTAAATAATTGTCAAGTACATTATAAAATAGCGTAATACTTGCTCTACAATGTAATTTAGTCTCAATACAAACTCTATTGTCTATTATTAACGACAAACGCATCATTAGACACATATTTGTCAATAAATATGTAAAACAACGCTAGTAAACGCTAATTCAGCTAGAAACAGCGTCTGAAAGCAATTTATTTATGTTTTTTCATTTACCTATTTTAGCCATCATTAACGCTGCTATAACAAGTATAAACCACATTAGTGAACATCAATACGTTTTAGGACGATCTTTGGCGTCAACAATGTATATATTAACAAAACAATTGTTATATACAGTGACCAGCAAAATTGGACCAATGTTTTTCAATGTCAACTCCCAACTTGAGTATCTTCCCCCACACATTCCCTATCGCTCTGAGACTAATTTTGTTAGGTAGCCACGGGTCAGTGCTACAATGCATAAAATTCTAGTAGAACACCGGTTACTAGTAGTTATTGCATGTGTATTTGAAAAATAAAACTACATTATCTTTGTTTTTTCAATTTAGTACTTTAACTCGTCAATATCTCGCTCACTTCCCCTTAAGCCTTAAAACTTCTCGAACATAATCTAACACAAGAGCGACAAACATTATGCATTCTTCCAAGGTAACGCAGAGTTGTGTAATTGTCACTAGCATCTACAACTTACTCTTCCGTATCAAAATCTGCTCAAAATCTTAATGACAATGCTTCACTCAAGGCAAGAGACCTTTGATGATAACAATATATGAGAGCTACGCCAGCTGTTAATGAGCTCTATAATAACAGTACTTTAGCCCTATAAAGCAAATCTGAGTGGATATAAACAATCACAATCATCTTGGAATATAAGTACCATTGGCGATAAATTGCAACAGTCAACTGTCAGCCCAAGATTATGATAATAAAATTGTTGTGATTCGACACCTTGTCACCATGTAAAACTTTTGGTAGTCAAGTTATACAATCCCACTGAGCGCATATGCTTTTATCACAGTTCATATTTTGTGCCTAATTATAGTTCGCGCTATTGTTCCTAGGTAGCCATTATGTATCTCCAAATCCTAGCACATGTTTTACTGTCAGAGTCAAGGTTGGTAAATGTTGTCATGTATGGTAATATTAAAAGCCTGCAATTATATGTCGTCATGGACTTGTGACCTGTAACAAAAATTAGTCATATCTCACTATCTTCATCCAATGTTTCAGCTTTCACTGGACCATTAAGGAAATGTCAATATCAGGTCGTATTTGAGCTAACAACCCATCTTTTTTATAATTGAGAACTACTGTGTGAATAGATAAACCACACTATTCTCTTTGTGACAAAGTGCATAGCAACACAAATTCTTGCGCTTTAAGGTTGAGCCAAAAAAAAAAAAAAAAAAAAAAAAGCAACACAAATTCTACTAAATAAATACTATCCAACAAGTAGCATAAAAAAACTAGATATTGTAACCACTCATGTCTTTTTATGCTACTATAAACTTAATAATTCTCAATATATAACCTGTATTGTGAATTACTGAAATCACAGCTGCATTTAGAAAGGAAGTTGGTAATTTTAGGTATCAAGATGTCCCCCATTACATGGGCACCTTTCTGGCACTATTAGAAAAGTTCTCTCTTGTTTTTTGGTGGAGTTTTTTAAAAAATATATTAATTTTGATACTATTAATGGTTAAAGTACCACTAGTATTCTTACAGTTGCAGTGTGATAGCAGATTATCTACTGACAACAAGATGAGCTGAACTGTGAGCCAATCTAGATATTGCGTTTTATGTATCTGCATATAACCTACAAAGAGCACCATTCTAGAATTATTAGAAAACCCTTGTTTCTCATGGTTGTTTTTGAAAAGTATATATTTTAAAGTCCACGGTTGCTATTCTACAGTTTGCATTTGACTCGACTAGATTTAGCAATTACAAAATTTAGCTTGACAGGCTAGGCATTAATGGCATAGCAAAAGATTTATTTGCTCCTTTTGTTAAGCATGGAAAAGTGCGTTTCTCAAAGGAAGTGGTTGTTGGTCAAAGAGGCACTCAAAGGCTTGAGAAGTCTTTGAAAGTGATTCAATTGTTTTCCTTTTGCTCTCCACTCTAGCTCATTTCTTGTCTTGTCTTTTCAACTATTTTACTTTCAAGCTTCTAAACTGCCAGCACTTAACACTCACTCACTCACTCACTCTTTTTTTTGCAATGTCTAGCCACACGTCACTAGCACAGAGACTTCCTTCAGATATTCTCAACATTATTTTTAAACTCATAATTGACCAAGATGCCTTACTAAACCAAGAATTTGGTTCCAAGGGTGTTGATGTACAAGAGTACTTGCAGGTGTGTCACACTTGGAGACAGGTAGCTCTAGAGTATATATGGAGGGTCCTTTACCTTACTATTAATGAGGGTACAGAGTCAGTGTGGGATATTGACTATGATTATCCAATGCAGTTGACCATGCCAATTAATGCTGTGGACATGGTCAGGGAGCTCAGAATTACAGTCTCTATGCCCAGTATTATTAATGGCTCAGCTCTTAAGCTTTTAACAAAGTTTATGGACAAGACTGCCAGTTTTCCTCTTGTTCGAAATATTCTTATAATGATAACTAATGACCCTGGTATGCCAACTGGTGTAGATGATAATGCTGTGTGCAATACCATAGAATTTGCCCAACTACTTCAATCAATTACATTACCCCTATTAGCAACAATAGAGGTAGAACAAGTTGATGAGACTTGTGAATGGCAGGCTTGTGTTGAGGAGGCATATGTGGCATTTGTTAACTCACTATACCACCATGCCAAGCACTTCGAACTTAGGTTAAACAAGATAAACATTCAACTTGCTAGTTCAGTTGAGCACCTCCCTCAGGTTTCAACACTAGTTATTCAATGTAAAAGTTCATTTGAACTGCGTGCTAATATACTTTACAAGTGTGCCAATACCCTTCATAGTGTGTGTATCGTTTCAGCAAGTGCCAAAGCATTACTATTTGATTCTAATGGTAACCACGTCATCTATCCCCATTTGGAGTACCTAAAAATGCTTGATACAGATGATCAGCCTCTAGTTGAAAGAGTTTCCATAAGAGGCATCATACCATTTCCTAAATTGAAGAGCATTTTCATACACATGGAGCATCCCTTTGATGATGATGTTCTATTTCGTGGTAATAGT